CCAACTAGGGTTAACCCATTTTTTAATAAACATAGCAGTTTCAGAGGAACTGCTATGTTTATTAATGGGTTAAGCCTTCCCCCTAATCCTCTAGTGGCTGTCTCATTGACAGCCACTAGAGGCGCTTGCGTGCTTCTCACTGTGATTTTCACGGTGAGAGCACGCAAGCGTCCATAGGAAAGCATTGTAAATGCTTTCCTATGCGACGGGCTGAATGCGCGCGCAGCTCTTGCCGCGCGTGCGCATTCAGCCCAGGAGGAGGAACGGAGGAGGAGAGAAGGAGGAGAGCTCTCCGCCCAGCGCTGGAAAAAGGTAAGTTTTTAACCCCTTTCCCCTTCCAGAGCCGGGCGGGAGGGGGTCCCTGAGGGTGGGGGCACCCTCAGGGCACTATAGTGCCAGGAAAACGAGTATGTTTTCCTGGCACTATAGTGGTCCTTTAATGAAATTATTGCCCAGCCCATAGTGCGCATATCTCTTAATGGATTGTTACAGACAACTTTGTTTGCCCAAGTACAGTTTGGCTTCATCATGTGTTGTCCTGTTGGCAGAACCTTGCATTGTGTAAGTTTTTTGTTTAATCTGCAGTGTAATAGCCTGCTTAGGGTGAGGCAGCAACTTCCTTTTGTACTGGAGGGAAGACATTTAGTAATCAAGGCAGTGCATCATTTAATTATATACTTGTCTAAACAGATAGTTGACACATATTGAGTAAGCTTGAAGTGAATCCACCTGTGCTGAAACCAGAACAGGCTCGACAGATGCACTCATTCTTTCCTACTGATTTACAGAAACAGTGAATGCATTTAATGGAATGCTGATGCAATGGATACGTTTAATTGTATCTACATTATTTTCTTAATCTCTTCTAAGCCAGTGAGAGAAGCTGTAATAAAACTCCTACTCTAGAGACCTCCCTCTTCATGAGGATATAAGCATTAGATCATGACACGTGTTGACCATCTTTTGCGGTTTCACAGGAATGATTGGGTTGAGGAATAAGACCCAGGAGACACTGTGCTCAAGAAGGGCTCAGGAGTGAGGGCTTATTACTAAAATATTGCTCAGTGTTTGTAAGATAATGGAAGACAATGAACTTTCGTTCCTTGAAGAAAACCAGGTTGTTCCAGTAAAAGTTCTGCTGAGGTTTTTTTAATAGAAAATTAGAACGCCAAGAGAAGTGTTTCAGTGGTCTGTCACTTATGTAGAAAAAAATTAATACAGGACTTTAGCAATGAAACTAATAATGGGGGAGGAATCTTATCTATAATAAGCTCCTCTTAATAAGAAAACTACGGTTTTGTATACATCTGCAAAAGTAAACAAATTTAGAATGATCGGTTTCATTTTTTTCTCTAATGTTATCCTTTGAAAATCTTTTTGTGGCTTTTTTTTTTTCTTTTTAAAGAGACGATTGTCTAAGGTCTTCACATACAGAATTCATATCCATTCTAATGAGGAAGGTAGCACTACCTGAAGGTTTTGTTATAATCCCGTATCCTGTTCCTACTCCTAGATTCTCTACAAGGCTCCTGCCTTGCCTCCTATGCTAATGGTTTGAGAATTCAGAAGCTCTTATGGGGTTTCTCTTTTCTCAGCATTGAACTGATATTCCCTAACTGTTAATATGTGTATTTCTTAGTACATAGCTTTCCTGAGCAGTGCAAGAACCTGGCTAGCCTGGTTTTATAACAGTCACTCTACCAATCATTCGGGAGACTTGGGTTCCCATATTCAAGAAGTGTAACAAAGTGCTTGTTTTTGGCACAAACCATGTGTTGTCATACATTGTGTGTTGTGTGCCCTCCTTTCCATACTAGTGCCTTTCAATACATTAAATTACCTACATGATCCCTGACTTTCCCGAATTGCTTTCTTTGTTTTTGTTACTTCTACTTCGTTTAATGAATGAGGGTTCCTAGGAGCAGCAGCAAGCTTATAGTTGATCCTCTCTTCCAGGATAGGTCTGTACGCAATTGTTAGAAAGTTTTTCTAAAACAGTCACAATACGCAAAAAAAATTTTTTTTTGTAAAGATTATTACCTGATCTTGCAAGTTGCATTCTTGCAGGTTATTTGAACAACCTTCTTACTAACAAATGTCAAAAAGAAAGCCAATCACGAATGTCACACATTTCTGTAACATAAAAAAAAACAAACTGGACAACTATAAATATTTCTCTTAATCATTGACATTTGTATTTATTTTACAGAATGAATGACGGACCTGTCCTTGGTTATGAAGAGGACGTTGGCCAGAAAACCACTTTTAGACTCTGTTATCCAGAGTCTATCTTCTCTGATACTTTGCACTATGATCCAAACACCACAGTGGTCCTTATGATGTTTAAACCACATGATGCAAAGTGGTTGGCAGAGGTATTAATGAACAGACGAGTGGTAAGTGGATTTGCCGTTTCAAAGTACCTGAAATCGTACATGTGTTGTACTTTAATGCAAAGTGCAGAGCAAAATAATTCATGAGTTTACAATCCATCTAAATGAGGTACAGGGGAGTGAGACTGAAAAATAAAAGGGAATTAATAATAATTGGAGTATGCACTCTTATTTAAGAACCAAAAGATTTTTAGATTCCCATGATCTTGTTTGTTTCCCCCTTGTTTGTTCACTCCTATTTAGTCAGTAGGTGAATGGTGACTGTAAGAGGTACGTTGTTTTAAGCTTGAAACAATGCCCTTCCTTGTTAAATGAACCAATCAAAAGCTTCTCTATAAGAAACCTTTGAGTGGATCTTGGGTGGCTCCCGTGACATCATAAAAAAAAATGCACAGCAGAGCTGGGAGTTTCTATCAGCGTTGGATTAAGGTAAGTAAAGCCTTCACTTAGAACTCTTTTCAAACATTCGGATTGGGTGCATCCTGGTGAATAATGCCAATAGGAAATGTAGAAACCCTTTTATTCCATTCTAGATATGCTGAAGAAAAACAATAAAATGGCTCCAAAAATAGTATAACATAGTTAACATTAGACCGTTGATCATTCAGTCCAATTTTTGCTGACTTGGAAAATTACAAATCAGTAAACCTCCCCTAAGTGAAATTGGTGTTGTGGTATTAATGCAAGCTGGTACAGTACAACATAATACTGTTTAGCAACATATTTTAAATTTAACCTATATTGCACATTCCAATCAATCATACTATATGGACACAAACTATTCTGCGGCACATTCAAGATACGGCTTGTTTGAAAACAGAGAGCACTTATGTCATTGTGTAGCTCAAGAACCCACTGCAAGGAAATGGGATATCTGTGTGCATATCCATTATAGTCCTATACAGACATGCTTACAAAGCATAATCCCGATGGATCACCTTTATCAGTTCAGCTGTTGTAAGCTACCATGATGCAAACGGCTCACTATTAAAATACCATTTTGACAAACCTGAAGCAAGCCTAGCCAGGTGTTATAAGTCAGTTGGGGTATCACTAGTTACACCCTGTGCTTTATCTTCACGATGAAGTAAAAAAATGGAGACGTCTAATTAAAGAACCACTTTTTTAATAGAATTGTTAGAATGTATGTACAATATATACAAAATATTTACAATGTAGCCTTAATCCTGTCAGCTACAACACCTGTGAAATTATAGTGGGAACTATAGGAACCCTAGACACGTCATCTCAAGCACGTGGTCTTGGTGCCAAGTTGTGTACTTATAACTTTGCAACTACAAACATTGCCATTCTACTTTTTATAGTGCAGGGTTTAAGTGCCGCTAGTGGCTATCATACTGAAAGCCACTAGAGGCGCTTCCTCCAATCAGATGGTCTTCTGGCATGCAGAATTCTCCCAGTTTTTTCCAATGAGAACGCGTTGGATTGGCTGAGATCATTGATCATGGAGGCAGTACTAGCAGAAGATAAAGCACTGCGGTGTGGGAGAAAGGTGGAGTTAACTACCTTTTCATGCACTCGGATTGTGGGGCGGGGAGGGTAAATTAAATGGCTACAGGACACTAGCATTATGAATACAACGAATTCAGATTTGTATTCCTAATGCTATAGTGGTCCTTTAACACAGATGCCAATCAGATCACTTAGAAAATAACTTGATAAAAGGTATTGTTAAAGAAGGGAAAGAAAAGAGATTATCCGAATGGTGTATGCTGGCAGATGACAAGGTTATAAAGGCCTTAATTTCATGATAACCACTCTGCCAATAGTCGTGTCTGGTTTTAAGATGTTAGCATATAATTTAGCCCAGTGGGAAATGATTAAATACTCTGGCTCAAATGTAACCCAATTATGAAAGAATATACAGAATAGAAGTAACAAAAATAAAGAAAAGCGAATAAATTCTCAGTATATATTAATTTGACGTCTAAACAGTCAAGTGTTTACTGATATCCACCTGTGTAGGATTCCCCTTCCAAGGGTTACATATAGGTTGATAAGTCAGCAGGAGATATCTACTCGATCTGTAAAAATCACCAGATCCTCGCTAAAAGAACAAGCGAGAAACAAAATGAGCTATCATTACCTCGGCTACTAGATAGAATAGCTAGCCTACATACTGGGCGTATACACATATAGCTATGTAAAGAGTAAGCCGGCAGGAGCAAAATACTTCAGAACAGATAGATACGAACGCCCTAACATCATCTTGCACTCTGCCTACTGAAGTAAATAATAAAATAAGTAGAAATCTTGTGTTTCGATGCTTGCCTAGCACCTTTGTGCTATATTATTTGCGTTTTATTTTTATCTTCATAATAAAACTGTGAAATCCTTTAAGTTATTGAAACTTGGTTTAGAATATGCATAGACAGTGAGGTAAGCTGGTTGTCTGCATTCTACTTATCAAGGACTATTAAAAATAAGAATACTATTCAAAATATGATAGAAACAGAATTACGGAAAACTACTTGTATCTGTATTTATTACATGTAGTGATGTCCCGAATGGTTCGCCGAACGGTTCGCGAACGGTTCGCCACAAACTCATCGTTGAGTAAACTTTGACCCTGTACCTCACAGTCAGCAGACACATTCCAGCCAATCAGCAGCAGGCCCTCCCTCCCAGACCCTCCCACCTCCTGGACAGCATCCATTTTACATTCATTGTGAAGCTGCATTCTTAGTGAGCTGTCCAGGAGGTGGGAGGGTCTGGGAGGGAGGGAGGGAGGGTATGCTGCTGATTGGCTGGAATGTGTCTGCTGACTGTGAGGTACAGGGTCAAAGTTTACTCAACGATGAGTTCGAGGCGAACCGTTCGGGACATCACTAATTACATGTAATGTCAACATGGAAAAAGATTGCAATGGTTCTATGATAAGTACATCTTTAGATTAGTCAGCAGAATACCTTGTTACCAGCAGGTAAAATCTTACCAGGAACAAGAATAACATTATGAAGGTGGTTATGCATAAGGGGAATTGCTGGGGAAAGGGAAGAATGTTTGCAAACCCAGTAAGTTTTTTTTGTAGTACTGTTCTCCATTTCAAGACTGATTTTTTTTTTTTTTTAATTTTTTTTTTTTAAATGCCTCCCTGTATCATGTAGTTCTGGATATCTCCTGGACAGTTACTTAGGTACACATGAGGCAAGTAGCCCTTGATTTTATTTATTTTAGTTAAAGAAGCTTTCTAAATACCGTTACCACTATGGCCTGCTGTAATGGTTTTGGTGCCTGGAGTCTACTAGCACCTTTTAAGAGACAAAATGTTTGACTCTGATGTGAGTGAATACAGAAGGGGACTTTTACTTGTATATCTTTGTGAAAAAGCTAGATCACAGGTAACGAGGAACATCAGGTAGTTGTCAAACAATTCAAAAACATTTTTATCTCTTAACCCCTTAAGGATAGAGGCAATTGTCCAAGTTCTGAAAACAACAAAACCTAGAATTTTAGCTATCTGTTCAACCATAATTTACCTCTTTCATATCAAGTGCATCCACACTTATATATAATTTTGTTCAGGAGAAACAAGGCTTTAATTTCACATCAAATATTTATATATGGAATACAATTTAATGTGAATAACATTTAAAAAAAAAAGAGAGAGAGGCAGACATTAAGAAATGTTGTCATGTTATCAAGTTCTACATGACATTTTGTCCGTGAATGTCATTATACTGTTTGCTTTTTCTGCAAAAGGCACATATTTGTATGCTGTGATATCCAGAGTACAACGATGCTCCCCATGTAAAGGTTTCATGGTGTTTTGGAAAGTTACAAAGCAAAATAAAGAGCTTGCTCGTTTCAGTTTTTACACATTGAAATTTGCCAGATTGCTTTGCTGGGCCTATGTTGCCTTTAAGACCATATGGCAGCCCAGGAATGAAAATTACCCCCATCATGGCATGCCATGTGCAAAAGTAGGTAACCCAGGATATTAAAAAAGGGGTATATCCAGTCTTTTGTTAGTTATCACAAACCATGGCAAAGGTAGTGTTTCTATCTGTACTGTTCAGTTTAAACGTGAGTGAATAACCAAGTCTTTGTTAGTGTTCAGTGGTTTCTCTGTCGTGTTTTAAAGCTCTAATGTATCTACAGGCCTGTGTGAACACTATGCAATGTTTGTTCTTTTTATACCAATCTCTGTGCAAAACAAAATAAAAAAAAAATACTTGAGATTAACGCTGCAGAAGAATAAGCTGAAAGTGATCAGTACACTATCATGTTCTCCTTTCACGGAAAAAGCCAATTGCAAAATTTATACCTGAGATTAATGGTAATCAGCTTAAGTCAAAGTCACATAAAAAATACTTATTGCTCATTTATTCCTCTGTAAAATGTATACAGCTGTTTTCAAATGCAGCTCAAATAAAAGCCTAAATGGTGGGATTAACACTATAGGGTTTGGAATAAATGTGTTCCTGACCTTATAGTGTTCTTTTAAAGTAAAGTGAATTTCAAATTTAACTACTTAAGGCCGGAACTGCTTGCAGCCTCCCCCCTGAATCTCCTCCACATACATGACAACTCAGGCAGTCCCCCTGTTGGAAATCTTGCGCTTCTGAGCCATGTGATTGCACTGGCATCACATTTACATGGCAGTCCCCCAAATACTGAAATAAAGAACACAATGATCATTATATATGCCCACATATACTTATACATAATGAAAATATATATAAAATGTCATTCTTATTGTAATTTTTTATCAATATACATATATTATCAAAATACGTTTCGAATTAAATTGTGATATACAGTTGTATTTATAAGTGTGTGTGTGTGTATGTATATATAGTAATAATGTAGTGTGTGTGTGTGTATGTGTATGTATATGTGTGTATATATATATATATATATATATATATATATATATATATATATATAGAAAATATACAATTTCTGTCACTCTTCCCAAATAATAATACATACCAGGTGCTTCTGTGCAAAATACTATATATATGGATTTGGTAAATATATATCAAGATCAAGATCTTGATAAAGCGGTCTCATTACTAAATACAGTAAGATTTACCAAATCCATGGAGTGCTCTCATTTTTTGCTTTGTGTATATATATATATATATATATATATATATATATATATATATATATATATATATATATATATATATAGCTCATTCACTAAACAGCAGTTTAAAGGCTTTTTTTTTTTTTTTCTTGTGGGGTGTATGCTTTCCTTCTGTTTTGAAACTGGATGAATTTGAGTATGAGTATTACAGAAGTTAAGCAATTTACCTTGAGCTATAATACACACGAACAGGGCTGGCAACGTTTGGTAATCCGGATGTTGTGGACTGTATTTCTCTCATTCACTAAACAGCAGTTTCAAGGCTTTTTTTTTTTTCCCCTTGTGGGGTGTATGCTTTCCTTCTGTTTTGAAACTGTGTGAATTTGAGTATGAGTATTAAAGAAGTTAAGCAATTTACCTTGAGCTATAATACACAGGAACAGGGCTGGGCAACGTTTGGTAATCCGGATACTGTGGACTGTATCTCTTCGGATACTTTAATAGCTGTAACAGCATTCTGGGAGGTGTACTCCACAACATCTGGAGTGTTGGAGGTTGCTTACCATTGCACTAAAACATTCCAAGTGTTTCTTTAAAATTAAATACTATGTACAATGCTTCATTACTTTTTATTAAAAAAAAAAAAAAAAATTCCCTCTAGATTAATTATTACTAACACAGATAACCGCTAAATAAGCATGAATTCCTGTGTCTGAACTGTAATGCTACCAACTACCTGTGCATGATGTCTGCCAATTCTGCAGCTCAGTGGCATGTGTTGGCACAATATAAATAAATTGTGACCACTTCCTAAACTCCTTTAGTAAGAATTCAGCAGTTATGAAAGATCTATGTATTGCTCTTAGCTGGTTGTTGCGTAAAAGGAACCTAGGACTTCAATTTATTTTCATTATTTTTTTCCCATGTAGTAAAAACAAATTAATATATAAACGGTGTAAAATAAGATATGTACAAAAATAATTTTGTGCTCTGCATGTAATGTCGGTATATCAAACTAACATTTTTTTTTCCACTTCGTTTATGGCAGAGCACTTACGGGTTTTGGAGGAAACCAGCTTTGAATCTAATCTACCAGCCGCATCAGCTACGGGTACTTAACCCCTTCATCATGCGACAAGTTTCTAAAAATATATTAAATTTTCCTACTGTCTTTCCTAAGACTGAAGTAAGTTTACTCTCTTTTAATATCATTGATAACAAAGTTTCTTACCTTTAGAAAATACATTTTTAGTATAGATTTCTATAAATTATACATTTATATGTGCAGGAATGGGAATTGCATGAATTTGCGTTATGGTGATATGAGCTTGGATGGAATATTGAGATACTGGAACAATACCTCATATAAGGGATATCCTCTACGTCTGTTAACGGGTACTCAGAATGAGTGTGAAGAATACTGTACGAGGCTGCCAACCTTGATCATTCTTACGCTCTCCGCTATTGTGGTTAAATCTAGCCTTTACTGTGGGGTATCTGGTTCCAACCTTGGTGAAATTACTTAGAACGAGAAGGGTTACTATTTTTACTTTAGAGCACTCTGTCTGGTTTCATTAGTTAACCAGAACATCTGAGAAAGATCCGAATTATGATGTGTGGTATCAGCTTACTGGAAACATGAGGCTAGAGTGCATCTTTTTGCCATTACTAAGAGGGATACATTTCCCCCCAAATTTCCCCATTCTACATCATCTTAAATAATATACATCTGTTAATTCTTTTATTTTCCTCCACTTAATTATATTTTATATTTCAGAGCAGTTGCTTATAAAAAGAAAGCCATAGTGTCACTTGGCGATTCCAGCATGACTATGCCACATAGTATGACTTTCAGCTTTACATTAAAGGACGTACATTGCAATCAAGTGCTTGCTACTTTCATTAATATAATACAAACTGGTTATTCTAAATGCTGTAAAAATACAGATTTTTTTTTTTATATAATTATCTGCTTAAATGAGACTTGGATTGCCCAAGGGATTTGCTAAAGGCTTATGGCAATGGTAAGTTTGTTTTCTCTTGTGTATATAAAAATAATAAAGTGCCCATAAAATAGGTAAAGGATAAAATAAAAGTCAACACAAATATTTTGAAAAGCCTAGTCTACATCCGTGCAGTCCAAAAACAAGGCTGCATGATTATGCTGTATTATATATCAGCAACAGACTTTTCTTGTCAGCAAGAAGGTTATCTGTAATGAACTTACTGCTCACATCAAAACCACAGCAGCTGCACCCCTCTGAGAGCACAGCTAGCCTATAAACTGTCAAACATGGGGACTTGCCCATGTGACATTACAGATTATTTCAGGAGTAGAACTAGTAAAACGGCTATAAAAAAAAAAAAAAGTTCATGTAATCAGAATGAGAGACCCCTGGCCGATGCTCACTTACCACACTACACTACAGGAAGTTTGGGACTCCACCCTTATTGAGCCTACTGAGCTAACCGTCACCTACATCCCTCTCCCTCTGTTAAAAATAAAGCATCCACCTAATCACCTACCAACACACCCTCCATTCATTCCTAGAAAACAAAACATTTTATACAGTTTGTGGTTACATGGTTGTTTTGGTGCTTTTAGTGTTTTAACCCTGCAGCTGAAAACATAGCAGTTTCAGAGAAACTATGTTTACAGTAGGGTTAATCCAGCCTCTAGTGGCTGTCTCACTGACAGCTGCTAGAGGCGCTTTACGCTGGACGTCC